CTATGGATATCTCGTAATTTTTGACCTCTTGAGAAGCTTTACGATACTTGGTTGCTGGGACCAGAGCCAACTTGTCTGAATTGGTCTCTTCACTTGTTACAGAAGTCAGAGTATCTGCATCTTCACTGTTGATTGTCCTCGTCTTTGATGGGAGACGAGACCAGCGAAATTCTGATGGACAATCGCTGCAGTCAGCTGTGTGTGTGTGACTGAGATAATATGAGCTTGGTGGGAGCTCAATAACTTGCGAAAACGCTGTGAAATCCGATCCGCAAGTTGTTGTGTTTTCGTCTTCTGATGGGAGACGAATTGGGCGATTTCTGATGGGGAAATCGCGACAGTTAGCTGTAGGCGTAACTGCGACTGTTAATCTGACAGAAATAAATGAATATAGACTATAAGCCTATAGTGGACTAGTTCCTACAAGTTGATCGATATCAATTCAAGTAAAAAGCATGCAGTGAGAAAAGCGATGATCCATCACTTTTCCACGCGAATCCTATGATTTGTCAGAGAACCGCTGACTCAGTTCTTTTCTACGCTAAATTAATGGCGTGTAACAGTTTGCGCACGTGTGATGCGTCCAGCGCACAGGCTACACTTCAACCTGGGAATCCTATAGGTCGAGTCACAAGTCCCGTTCCTGTTAGAATTCTGTCACTGCAACTGAGCTGCAGCTCATTCACCAACTTCTTTCACAACCTCTTTGGTACGTAGCTTTCCACTGTCCTGCTACTGTACCTTCTTTGCATAACCGGATCGGTTTTTGAGAAGGCCTTTGCCGGCCAAGAGAATGCCAGTGGGTCGCTCCCGTTCTCCAGAACGTCATGGTCCAGCACGTACAACTTATCGAAGTGCTGCTCTTTCTTTTTGCCAACCGTTGTGTACCTAATCATTGGACGATGCCAAAAATTAAAGTTGTTCACCTGTTCCTTGGGCCATCCCGTGTACCAGGCAGGGGCGCCTCCTTGTACACCCTTTTCGACCAGGCTGTTTAGATCTTGCGACTGAAGGTCCTTGGTGGGATCAAAGGCATCGAGGACCACCTTGGAATCATGGTTTGGGTAGCTCGCCTGGGTGGTGAGATAGCGGTAGCTCTTTTTGCGCACAGTGAAGTCCGTAATGGTCATGATGATGGGTGTTACAGGTAGAAGAGCCGTGTGCTTTCCTAATCTTAATGACTATCTATTCCTAGACTTCAAATTCACTCTGTCAAATACAGAGCAGTCTTTTCAAAAGGAATGAGCTGCAACTGAGCTGCAGCTCATTCACCAACTTCTTTCACAACCTCTTTGGTACGTAGCTTTCCACTGTCCTGCTACTGTACCTTCTTTGCATACGTACTTGGGCGTTCCGATCAGTCCGTACTTTCGACTCCTTTTGTATAGTTTCGATTCGACCCCAAAGTAAAACCAGGGTTCCCCTGAACTGGGAGTGACGGATGATGAGCAGACGCAGAATGTGGGGGGGTCCAGGGAAAAGAAGACGGGCCACTTTGCAGATCATGTTAGCAATGAATTAAAAATCGCACGCCGTTTGCACGCGAACCAATCATTCAATTTAGTTTCTCGACAATCTCGTTGTCACTGTTTTGTTTCGATGAACAATGAAGCAAAATTCGAAACGACGAAGACGTGGTCGAAGCGGGAAAGAAGACAATGGCGGAGATAACGATGATGGTCATCGTTCCGTGCTTATTAAAGCAAGTGAGGAGAATGCATCTAATTGGTATGATATTGGACGCGAACTGCCAGATAGGGACACCACTATCGCTTCCGATCCTCCGCAACCGTATCACCAAGACAACAAGAAAATAGTCTCGAAATATCGCTCTCTCGCTGATAGTATTTTTCAAAAGGAGCTACATGCGTCAAACAAATCACCATTTCAGAGCTCCGATGAACGCTGGGTCGAAAATACGATGAAGAAAGGAACATTGAAGGATAGGATCGCTGCCATTAGTGTTACTGTGAGCACAGATCCGATTCACAAGCTTACTTCTTTGGATGGCCTTCTTTCAATGGCAGGATGCGCAGAAACTGGGGGGAAAACAAATTCTCGTGTTGCACAGTTAGCATCCGAGGCTCTAGAGGATCTTTTTGCTAATACACTACTGCCAAAGGACCGCAAGTTGATATCTTTGGACCAGAGACCTCTTTATCTCTATGAACCAAGCAAGGATGGAAAATCAAGTGGAAAAACGTTGTCTCCTCGTATTCTTTTGCTGTGGGGTAAGTGTGTCTTCGTGGCGAGTAGCGTAGATCTGGTTCTGAAATGGATTTTCTAACAGGATTGATTATTCTTTGGAAAGCGCTGGAGGAATCGATCAAATCAAAGTATCAAGTCTTCTTGGGCAAGTATCTTGTCAGAACCTTGAAAGAAGGTCTAGAAATCCACAAAATTGCTGCCTTGAAGTCTGCATCTGCACTACTTTGCACTATTCCTGAGGGTGAACACCAGCTCCTTGCAATGATTGTTAACAAGTTGGGTGACCCGGGGAAGAAGACCTCGGCTTCAGCCGGACATCAGCTTAGAATGATTTTACAGAAACATCCTAATATGCAGGAGGTGATTGCTAGAGAAGTTCAGCAACTCGCTCACCGGTCGCACTTATCTGCAAGAGCTTTGTATAACTGCGTTGTTTTTCTGAATCAGCTCAAGCTTGAAAAAAGCGATGAAACTTCCAATCTTCCGGCATCCCTCATCAGAACATATTTTCGCCTATTCGAAGTTGCAGTGAGGGACAAAGATCCAGGAAGAAAGGACTGCGATGAAAAAGGCATGAACAGCCGTCTTTTATCTGCGTTGTTGTAAGTGAGAATGCGCTCTCTCTCTTTAATCGTGCCGTGTATTCTACTAACCTTCCCAGATCGGGAGTAAACCGGGCACGCCCCTACCTTCCACAGAAGAATCAGGCCATGGAAGCACACGTGGATTCGTTGTATCGAGTTGTTCATGCTGCAACTCCTTCGGCTTCAACACAGGCCCTCATGTTGCTCTACCATCTTGTTATTGGCGCAAGGTCGGATGATTCAAAGACTGAAGCCCCTAATGCAGACGGCGCTCGGCGAAACAGATTTTATCGAGCGCTATACGCTTCCCTATCGAAGCTGTCACACATTTCTCATGGAAAGCACTCCACAATGTTTTTTAATTTGCTTTATCGTGCTATGAAATCTGATGACGATGATAGCCGTGTCAATGCATGTGCCAAGAGACTCATGTCAACAGCGCTGCATGCGAATGCAGCAACGGTAGCTGGAAGTGTCTTCCTCTTAAATGAAATTGCAATGTCCAAGCCCAGTCTACGCGTGTGTTTGGAAACTGTTCCAATTGGTCGCAACTGTCTCTTGGTTCTAGACGATTCGAAACGCGAACCTTCGTCTGCGCTTGTTGCGTCGAATAATGGAAACGCGGAGACAAGAGAAACAGGACAAAGTGTTGGAGAAACTATGTCCCCTCCCTTATGGGAGTTATGTCTAGTTTCTCAGCACTTTCACCCGTCAGTATCGAAGTTTGGAAGTACAATTGGAGACATTTCGTATGCAGGGGATCCGTTGCGGGATTTTGGGTTGGCTCCTTTCCTAGACAAGTTTTCTTACCGAAATCCCAAGTCGAATAAAAAAGTGTCTGATCGTTACGATCGACGAAGGAGCATTGCTGAAAGAAGAAGTGGAATGAAATTGCAGATACAATCACGCCTTGAGCTACCGGTCAATGATCCACAGTTTTTGGAGCAAGAAGGCGTTAGTGAGCAGGACGAGTTTTTCTTGAAATTCTTCTCTGAAAGAGCAAGACGAGATGAGATCAAAGGTATCAAGAGACAGTTAGAGTCCAGCGAAACAGATGATGAAGAAGATCCGGTCGAGGAGACAGGCAATGTCGACCTTTCAACAAAATCGGTGCGTCGTAGCCTGAATTTGAAACGAAATGAAATCATCTCACTCACAACAGTTTCAATCCCTTAGTTTGCAGAGCTCGAGCAGGCTTGGGAGACCGATTCGGAAGAAGAGGCTTTCGCTGATTCTCTTGCTGAACAATTAATCGAAAGTGTAGCAGACAGCAACGGCAACTTCGATGACGAAGATCCAGGCATGAGCGACTGGAGTGATTTTGATGGGGAACAGGGACAAGCTGCAAGTGTCAACTCATCTGATGACGACGACTTCTTGGATATAGTCAGCGACAGCGACAGTGACGCGTCAATGAGAAATCGACTTGATTCTTCTATCGTTTTTGTAGATGCGGAAGAATACGAAAACCAATATGCCAATTCTGAACACGTGTCCCGAAAGAAAAGAAAAACAAAGGTGACCAATTAAGCAGGCTTCCTTTTTCAAGTATCTTACAAATTTAGTAGCTACTGCAAGTAGAGAAGGGCATCTGAGGGGGAAACACCGCTACGATACTTTGTTGGGGTTAGAAGACTCTATTCCCCCCCTCTTATTTCCCCTTGCTAAATGAAGCAGCTACTTTCCAGTACAGTATCACATCGTGTTTATGTTGCATGACAGACGCTGTCTGTACTTCATTCCTCCGTACCAGTGTTATGCATCTCCAGCCGCGCAGAGGCCGTCAACCGTCAATCGACTCAATCGAATGAAAATTGCGCGTCGCCATGAAAAACTATTTAAGTCCTCCGGTCATTTCGAATTTGACAGACCGCCAAAATCCCGTCAAAATTTGGGTCAAATTTGACATTCTCCGCCAATCGCCGTCAATTTTCTACGGACCTTTTACACAAAAATGTACTGCCCGTCAATCTGACTATTCCATCTAGTCGATTGACGGTGCCTGTCAAATTGAGATTTTCATTTCACAACACACAACCGCTCAGCATCTAACAATGATGCCTGAAGGTAAAAATGGTGACACAGTTGCCAACGAACTCCATGACTCCACCAAGGCAAAATACTCCAAGTTCAATGATTCCTCAATGGTAGTATAGAGAGCAAAGCCTACCCGTACCAGTGCCGACAATTGAATATGGCTTACGCCGTCAGGATCGAGTTAGTCGTCTTACGACTTACTAGATCGTCTGTCCGTATGTCCTCATACATCATTCATCACGTTCATCTCTACACTCTATGAGTTACTGACGATTAACAAGTCGCTTCGCAGTTCTACCAACTAAGCTCATATTATGCCTTCAACTACAACCGCTGACAATAGTTTCGTCACTCCTAGCAAGACTGTTGATTTTTCTGGTGAAAATCCTGAGGAAACTGACTCTATAATAATAAAAATAATAATAAATCTGATGCATTAATCATGTTAAAACTATCTCAAGTTTCTAGATTGCCGTTAACGGCTGTCATGGCCATTTACCATACGGAGGTGAGTCCAGTACTGTTGAACCAGTTTGAGGCATCCAATCCCAAGGAAGTTGCTCTATTGAATAGATGTATGTACCCTACCCATGGGTATATTATTCAAACGATCTTGCCACTCGAGGCGGCGTATTTTTATGTTGTTTTCTGTGTTTTTTGTGTATGTTGTGCTGCCTGTATTGAAGCTTGATTGGGCCTTGTGTTCTTGATCCCTTCTGCCATGAGTATATCAATCCAAATGAATGGAGAGCGCCTCATGAGCAGAGTGTTCCAGAACATTGTGGTTGTTACAAGCATCAAAAGGCGGCTGGTTGTAGTCTAAGGAGAAGCAAAGAGTGTTGGATATATTAGGATTTTCGAAGTACATATTTGGAGAAACGAGAAAAAGAGAATGCATGTGAACGATAGAGAAATGATGTCGACTGATACGACTAAAAATGAAGACTGATGTGACTAAAAACATTGAGCGTGGCGAGTCAGAAAACGGATTATATTTCTATGGAAATCATCCTGTTGATGATGTAAGAAAGCAAGATTCAAGCAAGAGCCAAAGTTGGATACTAATCAAAGTACCGACTACAGTGGAAGGTGAACAGATAAACAGATTGAACTTGCAGCATATCAGGCTGACGTAGAGAGAATTCTGAGAATTTCCACTGAGCTGGAGAGGTAAGAGTCAAAGTCAAAAGTTGACAGACTATTCTCACTTTTTATAATATATTGCAAGCAACGAGTGAATTGGTTGATAAAGTAGGATCTTTGATTGATCTATATACTTCTATATACTGTAAGTTCATATACTTAGAAGGCAACAATACCTGGACAGCTAAATCGCAGTCAATTGAAACAGGTAGATTGCAGGCGGCAGTGGATCGCTTACTTCTAACAAAGAGGGTCAGAGCCAGTAGGTTGTGTCCTGGCATGGTGAAGCCGCAGATACGTGGTGAATTGCCTGAATATAGGAGGGAAGAATGCCAACATTTGAACATCCATAAAGGGAAATCAAATTGAGGCATCTGCCAATCGACAGGAGGATGAAGGAACCGATAGCAATTGCTTTGCAATAG